TGGGTGAGCATTTCGCGGCCAAGCATGCATCTGACCCATTGCCATTGGGAGCAACGGCTTTCTCAGGTATCCGGGTTCTCGGTTCTGAGCGTGACCGCCCCAGGAGGAGGATCCGGGAGGCCATCAATATCAGGGATCGATCCCCGGAAATTAATAACAACAGTGGCTGGGATCTGCTATAACACCACCTTACTGCGAGTGGCGCGGGGCTCTAGACACCTCACTGGTGGTGTGAGACTGTAACTGGGCTGTTATCACTGCTGTAGCGCAGTATCTACTTTCCTCGCCGTTTGTGCTTGTGTTGTCATGTATATGTAGTAATGCACACCCGCCATGACGTGCTTTGCACTTCTCTACGCGCGCTGTCACTATGTACCGCGCTTTGCTTGCTTGCCTCCTTCTTTTATACTGCTGTTCTTTCCATGTCCACTTCATTCCTGATGATGGTCATAAAGACCGAAACGTTGTAACGATACCAATGGATTTGTGTGAAATGCAGTGCTCTCTTGAGTGTAGGCAGGTTGCCTGCAAACAATTCAAGTATAATGAAGCTGCGTGAAGCGTCCTTCAAAATTTTGAAACACTTCCCCTTTAATCTTTTTTTATCTTAATATTTTCTTCCTTTTAAGAATTGCATGCACTCTATTGTACACGCATTGTACACGTATATTTATTCCCGTAGCTATGCAGAAGACGTTACTTCAGTAACGTCTGGCGCTAGCCAGGGTCCACACAGCTTTAATTTGGTGTTTGTTTGTTTGTTTGTGTCACGCCTGGCGCTATCCCGTATCTGTCCCGTACCGTGCCGTACCAGCAAAGACAGCTGGCCACAATATTTTTGTTTGTTTGTGCCATCAGCATGCCCGGCGCTATCCCGTACCTGTCCCGTACCATCAAGAGTACGGTACCATCAAGAGGATGAGTATATATGCGAAGTATATCGGGGGAATGCATTCAGGCCGATAGTGCAGTAGCATTTTGTGTGGATTTTTGTGCGAGGCCGAGATCCCACTGGCAGGCTGGCTGGGCCGCCTGTCGACCAGCCCGGGAATCGCATGTAGGCCGATAGCATCATAATTATAACGTATATAGATGTATAGCAGGGATTAGTAGTATTTAAACGACTCCCTGCTGTATAGGGAGATTTTCTGGAAAGAAATACGAAGTAGGGAGACGAGGAAATGCTATTAGAATGGACGTTAGTTGCCGAATATAAGACAGGATGCGTCACCAAAAACATACTTTGGAAGAGAGATCCCGTCATCTCCAAAATAATCCTGAAAGGGCGAGTCAGCAACGGTCACAGGAAACGTCGGAAGAGAGATCCCGTCGACTCCAGAACGTCCGTGATCGGCAGAGTCAGCGCCGGTCACAGGAAACGGCAGGACAGACATCCCGTCGACTCCCGAACGCCCGTGATCGGCAGAGTCAGCGCCGGTCACTAGGGGTGTGCGGATAATGCTCGAAAAGGTGGCAGATTCTGCTCGAAAAGCAGTGAAATTGGCAGAACCATACAAACCTTATGGCGGGCAATTCCTCGAATTCTGCTCCATTTCTTTATCCACATACCAAACATGCATGAAACTTACCAGAAAAAGTACCGAATTCTGCCAATTTTTCTGCCGGAATTATCCGCATATGCCTACCGGTCACAGGAAACGTCAGGACAGACATCCCGTCGACTCCAGAACGCTAGTCAGGGTCAACACAGCTTTGACACGTTACATGCATGATGAGCAAGCAAAAAAGCATAGCGTAGGGCCCTGAGCTTCCAAGCTCTCTCGTTCTCGGAGACCCCCTTGATTTAGGCTTCGGCCTTTGGGGAATCCCTCAAATAATAAAATAAAAAATAAAAATAACTGATCAGCGGTGACACTGTGTATTGAGCAGGGAGTGGTGCTTTCTTGCAAGTGTGCCGAGTGGAAGGTGCGACGTGCTCCTCGTGTGCTGCGGGTAGTATTTAGTCAGTGATTTAGTATTTTATACTTGTATTGTATTTCAAGTATTACTCAAAGGCTCTAGGCCTGTAAAGGGGATGTCCTACTCAGAAAAATGTCATAATTCGGGAAAGAGTATAAAGAGTCAGAAAGAAAAGAAACAGACACAGCAACTGTCAAGGTGTCGGTTACGAGTATGCCATCAGTGTAGTGCGCGTATCTTCGAAAAATGCTGGAAGAGGGAATGTTTGAACTCGGGGAGACAGGTCATAGACGTGAGAGAGGGCGGTAGACAGTTCCATAGCATCCTGGCTTTGTGAAAAACAGAGAGGAAAACGTCACGGAATGTTCCGTTTGTTCGGTCTTCTGAGACTCGAAGACAGAGACAGGTGGAAACGTTCTAGGTGTTCGGGAAATATAATGTATGACTTTAAAGGGGAAGATTCGGAGTGGAGTTGGTACCAACATGGCTGCCCTGTATGATCATGTGATAGGTGTACAGAACAGCTCTTGTGTGATGCCAAGACTGACAAGAGGTACATGACTGTATACATGTACACACACTTCAGAGGAATCAAAAGCTTTTCTGCTGTAACTCTGAGTTTCACGGTTTTTAACCGATCATGTAGTCTTGTAGTGTGAGTAAGCCGTGTGACGGACGGTGAGTGCATGTGAGTGTGATGTGGACAATACTACATGTAGTAACAACAATGTTACTTACACCCGTGAGACTGGGTGATATACAGACAACGTTATTAGACGGAGGAACTACATTGTGTACAACAGTAATTTAGTGTTTACACTAGCAGCGTGCGTTTGCTGAGGCAGGTTCTTCTGTTGGCGCTGACAATCACTCGTCAGTGGTCCACAGGTTATGTTGCGTTGCTGAGGTAAGCAATGGTACGTCGTTCTGTTCGACCAGGAGCTAGGGTCTGTACTACTACTAGGGAAACTATCACGTACAGCTTCTTGCTATGGGCTTGTCAGCCACTGAGGCACCTTCAGTTGTGTATTTCCTGCCATGCTGATGGTGATGCATGCTACACTGCTTTATGATACTTTTATCGCTACCCGAGTTACTAATAATTTCAATATCGCTTCAATAATAATTAGGGCTCAAACGGCCACGGTTTTACCCCCAACGGTTAACTGCTAAGCTAACGGTCGGTTTAACGGTTATAACCTATAAGTATAAGCCACGGCAATCCTGCGGACTCTTTTTTAACCGTATATTTGGCTTATCCAAAAAAATGTACCCTATTCAGTACAACGCACACATGTATATTCTCTTGCATGCTCATTCATACATACTCTCACACGAAGAGACCAGATATGACCGACCGAGTTGACAGCCCAGCGTACGCGTGCGACAGCCTGCGAAAGTGCATACATGCCATACTTTGCAACGACCTGATACTTGAAAAATTCCCGTTTGAGCCCTAATAATAATACCCTTTCACAGATTGACTTGCACATAATAACACGGTAAACTGATCATGTACGTGACCGATTGTATGATTGTGTTACGCTCCCTCTCCCTGGTTGCGCACTCTTTCTGGTTTGCGTCAAAGTTACCTGCCCTTGTGCAGCAAAGCTCCAGGTCTGTTTCTCGCAGTTTAGTTAGAACACTCTGACTTCAATGTTCTGAACAGCTAGCTGTCCAGACTCCAGACTACAATTTTTTTGTAGCACAGCACACATTCATATTTTTGATACAAGTACTACTACTAGTAGTAGTACCAGATGCCTGGGGTCGCCATGGTTAGGTCAGACTCGGAGACAGTTCACCATGGTTCACTGACGATGCCGGCAATGACGGACTACCCGTAACTAAGAATTACTTAGCGTAAGTAATTCTGTGATGATTGAGAAGTCACACTGAATGCAATGACTATGTAGCCAATAAGTATTACAAATTAATAATAAAGTCGGGATTGGCCGAGGTGATCGGGAGAGGGAAGTTCGAAATGTGCACGTCAGCTATTGATTATGCATTCGAAGGAAAATGCGGGACCAGTAAAGACATTGTGGTCGGACTGGCGAGAAGCGGTCGGTTTAGGGAGGCGGCCGGAGAGCGAGGTTCCACTACTGTCTGGGTTCTAAAATGATGTCCCAGTCATGAAGTCACTGTCCAGTGGAACCTGTTCAGTGCCTGTATTCTTTATTTCAGGATTACTCCCCAAGTATCGCCGAAGTTGCACCAACCTCTTCTTCACATTGGTGTCCCCAGCGCGGGCTTGCGAATTCGATGGTTTGGAGGCAACAACGTTGTGAATGGCCAACGGTCCTCAGCGCTTGTTCAGTACCTCCATGAGCGACACTGACTCACGCTGCTATCTGGCGTTCACGAGGTGTTTGTCGCGCTAGAAACGGAGCGTCTCTGTAAGTTTGTATCCCTGGTGACGGTTTGGTCTGGAGAGCACTATAATGGTGCTCATCACAGTGAGACACAATCTTCCTCAGCCTACTCAAGCTCAACTGATGAGGGGTGAATTTCCCGAAACACTGTGTATTGAGCAGGGAGTGGTGCTTTCTTGCAGGTTTGCCGAGTCACGGGAAGGTTCGATGGGACTTCTCGTGTGCTCTGGATGACAGTCGTGAATCAAGCCAAGGCGGCAGGAAAAGCGGGAGCTCCCATGCCATGGCCCACGTAGGGAGCAACACACACAATTCCCCAAGTACATGATTGTATCGCCGAAGTCGCACCAACCTCTTCTACCCAAAGCCAAAGGCTATTTTTATTATGACAAAGGTTCGGTGTGTACGTGTGCATGTGTGGTCCAGTGCATGCAGGCGTTGCAGTGGCTTTACAGCATGTATGTGTGGTGGATATGGCTGCTCGACTGCTCGTCGTGCAAGCGTGCTCGATCGAGGGCAGCCCTAGCCCGTAGCTACTAGGCAGCCGTGCGCGTGGTCCATAGCCGGCGTAGACCGTCTACCATGTATACTGTCTACTGACTCCGTGGACCGTGTGTGAACCACGATGACGCGCATATCCTGGTCCTCGGATATATACTAGACATGGTCATGGGCCAGGCCTGTTTGCGACCGGCATTTCGCGCGCATTTCTGCACAGAGCCTTGCTGCTTGCCGACCGCTTCATTTCTCAACTCCAATCTCCAACTCCTGATCCAAGATGACACTGTTCTCTCTCAGGTGATCGTGCTTTGCTTCTGGTTTGTCGATTGCTTGGTTTATTGATCGTAGATACGGATAGATATCCTTACGAAGGAGGTTGTCGAAGAGTCAAGAACTTTGCCAAACAGTTTAGTCCCGAGTTGGCCATGCTTCGAACTGCCGTAGCCTGCGTAAGCGGCGCAGGGGTTTAGCTTGCAACATCGATCTACGATAAGGTCGTGGGTTGAACCCTGTGATGACCTTGGTTCGTTTAGTTCGTGCCGATTCCACAACGTCGTCGTTGTCCGCCATCAACCTGATCAGCTCATACAGGAACGAGCTTCAGGAAAGACACACTCACCTTCCCTATTCTGATGAGTTACCACTTCGGTGGAAGCAAGCGCCGCCGACAGCGAAGTGTCCAGATGAAGTTTCCCGTCTACTCGTGTGTTTGCACAAGACAACGTTTGTGTAAGTGGTGTTTTATTTCTTCCCCGATTCTTCCTGCTACCTAGAATAGTTTCTCGCTGACCAGTGTATGTCACATGAGTCGAATCGTTGACCATTCCTTTCCTTTGTGCGTTGGGATAATCTGTTGAAGGTGTCACATTTCTATCACGGAGCCAGGAATGCCACTGCTTTTGGCCACCAACTAGAACTGTATAAGAGTACTAGTAAATCCGGTTTGTGTTTTGTCGGAATGCTGGTGACTCTCTCAATCCTTGTTCTGGGAACAGCTATCCAGCGATACCATGCGCCTGTGGCTGATGAGCCGCAGTGAGAACCTTCTCAGTAACTCGCAGCAAATGTGTTTGACCATCTCCCCGGGGGGTTGGGTTGCATTGCCTTTTCCGAAGCGATAGATCTACGCTATAGAACCGTGGAGCGGAGCAAAGACAATGGAAGTTCTCTTTTTCTCTCAGGTGCGAGTCCAAGCTCTCCAGTAGAGTGCTTCGGACGAAGCGCGCCTCACATAGCTTTGCAAACAAGACAGACAGCCAATACACGGCCGGCGATCCCAGAATAGATCTCAGAGAAACAATGCGGTCGGGCGAAACTATGGATGTGTCCGTTTGGGCACCGAAGGAAGGAGGCAATTCATGAGTTCCGATCCTAGAGGATTGGATTTGGATTGGTTTATTTAACGTCGAATAACAAACAGGCAGTGTTGCCTTATTACATGAGATCGACTAAAGACAAACAGGCACACAAATGTAAGGAAAAGATTAAAAAGAAAAAAAAGAAAATAGAAAAAAAGAGTAGGATTTAAGACAGCAGCTAGCTAGCAGAGGAAAGATTGCATAATTATTTGATCAGTGAGCAACGTAAGTCGGTGAATTTTTCAGGTGGGGTAAGAGAGCGGTCCGGAATTGACCTGGTTTCTTCAGTGATCGTATAGATGCAGGCAACTTATTCCAGAGAGCGGGACATTGATATGAAGGGCTGCGTGTGGCAGCGGCAGATATGATCCTCGGGAAAAGAAGCAGGGGAACATCTGTGCTCCTCGTTCGACGGGTGTGTGACAGAGGTGTGACAAGGTCATGAAGAAGCACACTACAGTTATTATGAATTACACGAAATGTTAGCAGGAGGAGTTTGCGGCAATACATTGATTGCAGGGGTTGAATGCTGAGGCGTTCAAAAAGAGGGGCAGTTGGAGACAGGAACGGAGCAGAGCAGGCAACACGCACAGCTCGCTTGAGAAGTTTCTCAAGACGATCACGTTGTGCAGAGGAAAGGGAAGAGGAAAAGCTGTTGCATGCGTATTGGAATGTGGGTAAAATTATACATCTCAAGTAGGTTGAGCGGCATGGCATTGGGAGGCACTGCCTGTGGCGGAAGAGAATGGCAATCTTTGAGGACACTGTCTTGGCTATATGGTCAACCATTGTGTTCCATTTCAGGTCGTCATCGATGTGCAAGCCCAGGTACTTGGCGCTTGTCACTTGCTGGAGGAGTGTAGCTGCACAGTGCACATTCAATGTCTTGTCGTCATGACGATTGGCAGGAATAAACAATATTTGTGTTTTTCGACTATTCAGGATTAGGTTGCGCTCACCAAGCCAGTTGCTGAGATGGGTGATGGCTGAAGACAGGTTGTGTGACAGCACTACCTTGTCCTTCCTGCTATCGTGTAGCATGATGTCGTCCGCGAATTGGGTTACCTGGACGGCAAACTGATCCACTTCACTGGCCACATCCCTGACATATATGACAAACAATAGTGGTCCCAGTACAGACCCTTGGGGAACCCCACTTGAGCACGTGAAAGATGAGCTACTATCGCCGCTGATGACGACTTGTTGTTGACGATTTGAGAGGTAGTCGCTTAACCAGTTCAGGGCTGTGCCGGAGATTCCAAGCTGGAATAGGTCTTCGACAAGTGTCTGATGCTGGACCTTGTCAAAGGCCTTTGACATGTCCAGGAAAGCAGCGCCAGTTGACAGCCCGTCATCTCGGGCTCTTAGGAATTTGTCTGTAACCATTGTGAGAGCATCCTCTGTAGAGTGCTGGCGTCTGAAGCCAAATTGACAGGAAGGGTAAAGATTATGTTCAGCCAGGTATTGACTGAGTTGCTCATGGACGATACGCTCAAGCAGCTTGGAGACTATAGGGAGCAAAGAGACAGGTCTATAGTTGGTGGGTTGACTGGGGTCACCACCTTTGTAGACGGGAGTGATGTTGGCGATTTTCATGTTCGGTGGCAGCTGGCCTTCGGACAATGATTTGTTGAAGATGAGCATCAGTGAGGGTGCAAGAAGGTCAGCGCATGATTTAAGAATCGTTCCGGGCAAGCCATCACTGCCAGTAGCTTTTGTCATGGCTATTGACGATAGGAGCTTACGCACACGGGCAATGGTAACAGGCTTAAAGATTGAAAGGCTGTTCGGAGACATGGGGCCTTGAGGTAGAGTCAAGGCTGGGGGACGTTGAGGATCATTGACAATGCCTGCAAACACATTACCAATGTCATCCGGGGAGCATTTGGGAAGAGTGTGGACTGGCTGCCGTCCGCTCAGCTGATTCAATACACGCCAAGTCTGCCTTGGGTTCCCTGTAGCGTTCACAAATGCTTCATTGTAATGCTGTTCCTTCAGTGCTCGGCTAGTGCGGGTAACCTCCCGTCTGCTCTGCTGGAAGCTGCGGTAGTCCACATCAAGTCTGGTTCTCAGCCACTTACGATGCAGTTTATTGCGCCTGCGTACAAGCGCTGCGAGCTCCGAGGTATACCATGGTGCGACATTGTGGGCACGGTGCTTCCGAGGCCGGAGTGGTGCATGTTGATCTACGAGTGACATGAGACACTCGTGCCACTGAGGCACTGTGTGGGCTAGTGGCTCATTGGGCTCTCTCCGAGTCGCAAGCTTCTTTCAACAACAAGGAAAGCTAGCTGAGGGAAGGCTAGGTTTGGCGCGAGCTCAAGCCGATGTCTAGAAGAAAATAGCTTAGACTGTCTGATACACAAACTCATTCCCGTGTCGTATGTATTGCAGAACGTTCCACGATGGTGTGGCCGGGTGTGCTTGTTTCGTAATGAAAACTGGGACCACGGTGTGGTCACTGCTTCGGACGGTACCACTGAATCTCCGTGTCTATGACTGGAACCTGTCAGGCATTTTCAGGAAGTTGTCCATGATTCCGAGGCTGCACCTGCACATCGGTCTGCCTAAACAGGGACTATCTGGCGGCCAGCTGTGCTACAGAGACAAAAGACCAAAATCCGCTGTGACTGTTTAGATAACACTTGCGTGTTCTCTTGCATGTGATGGCTTCACGCACCAGGAGATGAGATGGGAATCATTGCAGTGGCTGAGCAAGTCAGCCTGGGGGAAGCCGGCAGGAGAGCATTGCTGTGGTAGAGCACCCCAGCCTGCGTCTCTGAGAGCACCGGCCCAGGGCTGGAGAGCGCCAGGCTTCCGCAAGCCAGCCGGGATCTTTGTGTAATGATGTCAAATGATCGCAGCTTCTTGTAGCCTAGCCTCTGCTTATATCCTGGCCTAGGCTGTCCCTCCAGGAATCCGCGGACAGAAAGTTGACATTCTGCGCAGAATTCTGCGGCACAAATCGCTACATTATGCGGCGGATAGCATGAATTCTGCGGCAATACTGCGGTATTTCTGCAGCGCTGCACCGGTGAAAAGACATGGCTATATGCTATGTCCAAGTATCAATAAAAAATTTAGTGGTCGAAAACACACGATAGGCTCAATACAGTAACGAAGAAAACTCCCTCGACTTTGAATGCAACAAAATAGCGACAGGACACTGCACTGTGCATGCATATGAAGCGCGTGCTCGCATTGCCCCCAAACCGTGATTTTTCACAATTCTGCGGCGAAAACTGTGAATTCCGCGGGATATTAAAAAAACATGAATTCCGCGGAATTCCGCGGATTTTACCGCGGCCGCGGAATCGCGGATTCCTGGAGGGACACTGCCTAGGCCCTTGCTCTCTGCTGCGACTATACTGACGGGCAATGGGCGGAACGTGCGGTACATGTATTTCTCTATCTGTTCCTAGTACTGCGCCATTGGTTGTGTGGTGAGTGCAGTCAGCCTGAACAGAGGTCATGTGCATGCCCACAGTTCTGCCGGGCGCAGAAAGGCTGGGGGGGTCAACTTCCTAGACTAGACCGCTCTTAAAGGGGAAGTTAAGGCAAAAATTAAAATTTCATCAGTTGTAGTCTTCGGGGTGCTGAGTCGAATGGTCGTGGTCCGAGGAAGCTGAGACGCTCCCTTCCTACTTGAATCCCAATCGAACTCGCGCACTTCCACCGAAACTGGGTGACTGCGCCCTACTAGATGGGGATTTGTATGCAAAATGTCACTAAAAGCGCCATTTCGTTCTTATAAAAGCACGGATGACCACGATTGGCCCATATGTTGTAGTCTTTTGGACGCTGAGTCGACTGGTTTTGGTCCGAAAAGGCTGCGATGCAGCGTTCCTCCTTTATTCCCAATCGAACATGGTTGAACAAGCGGTCACGTGCTGCTGCGTACGCCAGTCACCTGGTCACCGTGCCTGCAGGGTACAACTTACTAGCCTGTTTGACCTTTTTTGGGTGCAGTCCTGTCACTCGAGTTGAACCTTGGTGTGAAAGTTGTCGCCTGCTGGCGTGGTGACCAGGTGATTTGGGCACCCAGGAGCATGTGACCGCTTCTTCAACCATGTTCGATTGGGAATAAAGGAGGAACGCTGCATCGCAGCCTTTTCGGACCAAAACCAGTCGACTCAGCGTCCAAAAGACTACAACATACAGTAAGATCGGGCGCCGAAGAACGCAGGGGCTCGAGCGCAGCCTAGGAAAGTTCTTAAATTTTTAATTCTAGCCAGACCGTTCTTATTCACACGCGCGTGGCGAGTCGAGTGACGCCATGACGTTTGTCATGTACATGTAGACCAACGCATATGGCCGATTGGTTTGCAGGCCTGCCTGCGAATCATGAGGTCCCGAGTTCGAGACCCGCGCTGGTAGCAGGGAGCGTGTAAGTACAGGTTCCTGCACGAGTATGAGGGCAGTACCGCGGAATCCAGCCCGCGCCGCGATAGCGGCAAGGGTTGGATGAGCAGCGGTACTGACCGAGTATGAGTTAGGCGTTTCCGGATTATGCGTTTTTTCTTGGTCTAAAATGGAAATGGAAAGTGTTTTGAAAAACCCCTATAAATCAAATTTTTTTCTAAAGAAAATGCAAAAATTTACCCAAAAAGCACAAAAAATGCCACCGTTGCCATGGTAACAAAATGGCGACAGCTAGGCGCGTGACATTTGGCACCATGGTGATCATTCATGGTGATCGTGAACATGGTGAAGTACTTGCAGGGAGTCGTAAAATACCGGTATTTTACGACTCCCTGGCCCAAAGTGGGTCAAAATGGACAAAATGCATTTCGACCCCCAAAATGCAAAAATATGCAAACACATAATCCGGAAAGGCCTAGTATGAGTGACTGGAACGTGTTTCCCGTGTGCACCCAAGCCAAGGAGATCACTCACAATCTTTGACGTTTGAGTTTACATGAACCATTCTGTGACTCGACTCGAGTCCTGTATGACTGCTGTGACTCTGTGTGAGCTGAGTCACAGTGAGTGAGAGTGACTTCGACAACCGTACACGGACTACAGTACATGACTTTTGCATGTACTTTCAGACCACAGAAGCTTGTCATTGAAATGGTAGACTCATGAGTGGATTTTGTCCACTGCCCGTCGTCAAGTGACAACGGGCAGTGGATTCTGTCCACTGCCCGTCGTCAAGTGACGACGGGCAGTGGATTCCGTCCACTGCCCGTCGTCACTTGACGACGGGCAGTGGAACTATTTCCATCACCATTCATCAGGCAGGATCGCGCTTTCCAGCCCGCGTAATTTGATCTGTTATTGGTCGACTCCAAGGCGACAGTCATGTGACATACGGGAAAGACTTTTTACGTGAGTAAAGACTTTTTATGCGTGGTGAACTGCGCCGACACCCACGGTCAACTGGGTACTCACAGCTCGGAGTGAGGGTAACAAGGATGCAGTTTACAGGGTTATGCCGTTACACGCCCGATTGGTTGAGAGACTCACCTACTCTCCCCTGACTCACTTGTGAGGTCTGCATTCGCCACTAAGGTGTGCAAGGCATAGGCATAGTGGTGGCCTGCGGAAGCGAAGGCTAGTTTGTGTGTTTCTGAACATTCAAGCGATGCCAACGCGAATCCCGCGAATTATTATTATTATTATTATGTACGTACATGTAGTGCAATGTAGTACTTCTAAACTAGTGGGTGTCGTAAATAGGAATGACTGTACATGTAGCAGTTACTGTTTACACGTGTACATGACATGTACTCACCTCCCATACATGTACAATGTATGATCAGTTCAATACTGCACTCATGTGGAAATTCCAAATTTTGAAAGTGTTCTTAAATCAGATAATTCTAGCCTGGACTGTTCTTAAATTTTGCCGGTTTTCCAGCCTGGGTGTTCTTCGGCGAGGTGTTCTTCGGCGCCCGATCTTACTGTATGGGCCAATCGCGGTCATCCGTGCTTTTATAAGAACGAAATGGCGTTTTTAGTGACATTTTGCATACAAATCCCCATCTAGTAGTAGGGCGCAGTCACCCAGTTTCGGTGGAAGTGCGCGAGTTCGATTGGGATTCAAGTAGGAAGGGAGCGTCTCAGCTTTCTCGGACCAAGACCATTCGACTCAGCACCCCGAAGACTACAACTGGTGAAATTTTAATTTTTGCCTTAACTTCCCCTTTAAAGGGGAAGTATACCCTAAAATCAAATTTTCACCAGTTGTAGTCTTCGGGGTGCTGAGTCGAATGGTCTTGGTCCGAGGAAGCTGAGACGCTCCCTTCCTCCTTTATTCCCAATCGAACTCGCGCACTTCCACCGAAACTGGGTGACTGCACCCTACTAGATGGGGATTTGTATGCAAAATGTCACTAAAAGCGCCATTTCGTTCTTATAAAAGCACGGATGACCGCGATTGGCCCATATGTTGTAGTCTTTTGGACGCTGAGTCGACTGGTTTTGGTCCGAAAAGGCTGCGATGCAGCGTTCCTCCTTTATTCCCAATCGAACATGGTTGAAGAAGCGGTCACGTGCTCCTGCGTACACCAGTCACCTGGTCACCGTGCCTGCAGGGTACAACTTACTAGCCTGTTTGACCTTTTTTGGGTGCAGTCCTGTCACTCGAGTTGAACTCGAGTTGAACCTTGGTGTGAAAGTTGTCGCCTGCTGGCGTGGTGACCAGGTGATTTGGGCACCCAGGAGCACGTGACCGCTTGTTCAACCATGTTCGATTGGGAATAAAGGAGGAACGCTGCATCGCAGCCTTTTCGGACCAAAACCAGTCGACTCAGCGTCCAAAAGAGTACAACATATGGGCCAATCGCAGTCATCCGTGCTTTTATAAGAACGAAATGGCGCTTTTAGTGACATTTTGCATACAAATCCCCATCTAGTAGGGCGCAGTCACCCAGTTTCGGTGGAAGTGCGCGAGTTCGATTGGGATTCAAGTAGGAAGGGAGCGTCGCAGCTTCCAAGACCATTCGACTCAGCACCCAGAAGACTACAACTGGTGAAAATTTGATTTTAGGGTATACTTCCCCTTTAACTTTCATGTACTACAGTCTATGCACAGTTGAGTCACCGTGTGTGCATTGGCATGCTGTGCTTGGTGGAATCCTAGCCTGTCCGTTCTTCAGCACCCGACAGTGCTGTAGGTCGTGTTGGCGTGATGCAGTGCCAGGGAATGCATAGTAGCACTGGCATGTGTCAAGCAGACTGAGACTCTGTGCCTGGATATTGTCCGCCGTGCTACTTCGACTGTGAACTATGAGACTCTGTGTGTGTGTGTGTGTGTGTGTGTGTGTGTGTGTGTGTGTGTGTGTCTTCGATGGCATACTGGTGACGTGGATACATACCCAGGGGTGTACTCGTACATAGGGGTGCTTCCTGGATGCCTGGGAACAACTCCTATGTAGACATGCACTATCAGCAGTGGATCTACATACCATCAATTTCATACATTTCCTCAGAAAATCTGAGTTTTGAATGACCGTCAATGATCCAATCATCAACTATCCCTAGTGAAATTGGAATATTTGGCACAAAATAAGGTTTGACAAGCAAGACAAGCAAGATTTGTATAAAATGTTGTTGTGGTGTTTGTTGACCACTATTGCTTCGGAAATCACTATCATGGCGAGCGGTGTGCGCACTGTGTGCATATCCAAAGGACCTGTAGCGTCCGTACTCGGATGGTGGCTGTCAATATGACAGCTATACTCCCTGACAGGACATAATGCATGCAATCCTGGTCCATGGCAAACTACCTGATGACATGTATGACAAGATGGGTTTTTTGGTTTTATTGCTTTACATGTATCTGTGTGTCAGGGTTGTCGCTCCTGGTCGTCTTCCTATCAGCTTACACAGCAACCGGTGAGATCATACATAGCCTTCCTGGATTTGATAGACTGTGTTTAACCCGTCCATCACTGTGTGTACCCGCGATTGGATGGTTTCACGCATTGGCTAACGCAACTATAACTTGTCAATGTGCTTACCGGATTTTGGAATAATCCAATGTGTGTGTCCACTGTAAAGTTATATCCGCATGAAGCGGACTAGTATCATTCTCAGTCTGAATAAACTTAAAGTATTCGGGCGCGTGCTCGGCGATGGGCACGGGGGGCACGTGCACCCCCAAAAATTTTCAATCTGGGTAATTGCAATTGTAATGTATGCAAATATGCTCTAAAATTCAAGAAAGGTTGCAAACAAATTGCAGAAAATTGCCGGGGGGGGCTCCCCTCGGTTCCCGTGCACCCCCCTATTTGGGGGGGCCGAGCACGCCCCTGGTATTCTAAGGATCATCCTGAAGGCTGTAAAGTTTGTGTCACAGTGACCATGTCCACAGATCTTGGTCATGCACTGTGTGAACGTTTCCTATGGTCGGGATGAATGAGAAAAGGACTTTGTAGAGGGTGTGCAAGATCGCAATTAGCACTAATCAGTGTGCGCAATTGCTGTGCATCATTGTGTCTTCTTTGCTCCAATCACGATTTATTCGCTGATGTGTTCCCCTTTTTTCATGTCTTCTCTCTCTCTCTCTCTCTCTCTCTCTCTCTCTCCCCTTGTCACAGGTCAAGATGGAGATGGATCAGGAAGTGGCGGTGAGGGAACGTCAGAGTTCCTTGCCTAATGTGTCTTGCATACGTATGAATTTTTAAAGACTCCACTGCAGCCTTATCTATCATAGAATAGTGAACGTTGAGACATAACTTATCCTTCATGCCACATGGCACACCTAGTATTTCTGGTTCTTGGTGAGTTTCGCCAAGGAAGTCAGTTAGAGCGGTCACTGGAACTCACCTGTGATCACTGTGCATGTACAGTTGCGCTCACTGCAATCCAACCCAGCGTGCAAAGCTGGCTCCCTGGGACAGCTCCGATTACATCATTGTATTTGTACGTGTGTACGGTCGGCCGAATCCATGCCACTTCCAACGCGTCGAGGGCCGTGCAAGCTGAGGGCGCCAAATACACACTCTGGGTCGGATTTCACCGAGCGCAACTAACTGTGCATGCCTACATCATGATGCTGGTTGGCTGGTGGCAGTTTGGTCAATGTGAATGTGTGTGTGTGTGTGTGTGTGTGTGTGTGTGTGTGTGTGTGTGTGTGTGTGTGTGTGTGTGTACATGTATGTATGGGGTCTTGTGCAACTCTACAGCTGACACCAGTCCGACAGTGGCTGTCACCACGACAACGGTGGCAGCGGAAGCAACAGCCGAGTCAACCACGGCTGCTCCGTCCCCAACGCCAGGACCGTGTGCCCAGTGTGATCCTGTTGGGTCGGTGTGCGGCAACTCAACTAACATGACGTGTATGTGCATCAGTGGGCACACGGGCAACGGAATGTACTGTAAGTGTTTCTAGCTGTTCAGCTGTTTCCTGTGCGCACGTGTGTGTGTGTGTGTGTGTGTGTGTGTGTGTGTGTGTGTGTGTGTGATATCGAACCCGCAATCTATCGATTGGAAATCGCTGCACATACCACTGCACCATATGGGACACACACGTCTTTCTTCTCTTTCTCAGACTCTTCCTGACTTTTCTTTCATTCTCCTGGGTGGTTACCAACAGCCAGTGCATGCCGGAGTATGTGGTGTGATGTGTGTGCGGGGAAAAAAAAAGAAGAAGGAAAAAACCAAAAATAGGGATTCACTGGCCAGAAAATGTCTCCAAATAGCTGTATGGTGTAGACCAGGCTGAATAGTGACGGTCAATTCTTCAGCCTTGCAAGCTGTTGAATGGTGTAATCCCAGCACAAGTTGCTATGGCTTCTGCCGTAGCATTGCTATCATCGCCTCCGGCGATGGGCGTCAAAGGTCAAGGTGTGTGATATGGAGGGGGCGGTGTGTGTGTGTGTGTGTGTGTGTGTGTGTGTGTGTGTGTGTGTGTGTGTGTGTGTGTGTGCGTGCGTGTGTGTGCGTGTGTGCGTGAGCACGCGAGAGTGAGTGTGTACGTGTGTGTGTGGAAGGGGGTCATGTGACATGTAAACAAACCAAGCTGAGGCACGTTAGCTGGACAGTCAGTGATTACACACCTGTAAGGAATACATGAGTGGTAGAGTGCTCTCTTAATAAAAACAGCACAGTGCTTCTAGCTACCGACAGCCTGCCAGCAAACCAGTGACATTGGGGAATCTTCTATATAAGCCACATACTGGTGAGGGGTGAGTATGGCAAGGTGGTAAGAGTGGTGACACGGCCCTGGTAGTCAGCTGGCCACTACATGTACCAACGACTTTCTGAATCTTCTCTAAAGCCTCCCTCAAACCCCGCCGTTTCGTGCCTGCTTCTGTTCTTTCTTCCTGGCTGTGCAGGCACCAAGGAGTATGTCATCGATACGATGAAGAACGTTGCTACGATGAACACCACCGGGACACTGGTGGGAGTGAACACGACAACGGTAGTGTTCGGCACCAACAGCACGTCATCGGGAGAGCCCTGGGCGTTGCTGAACACGTACGTCAACCTGCTGCCCAACCAGAGCATTGCCGAGCTGGCAGCACCCGGCTTCTACAGCGTCCGCACGTGTAGGAATTTCCTGTACTCGAATGGCGTGCAGACGCAGACATGCGACGGTGTTGAGATTGTTAGCACGCTCAGGACGACAGGTAAGACATTGAAAATAGAGCGCATGGCTGCACATGACAGGTGAGATGAAAATAAGTGCCTGCCTGCGCATGAAACTGAGTGTGTCCAGCTTCTGATTAGTTCTGCCTGGGTGTCTGTCACGATGAAATTCCTTGTTTAAATCATTTTGATCCAACCGACAACAAGCTCACACAACTCAGCTTGGGGATATTTACAGGATACAGGAACAATATGATACAGGTGAAACAAGAGAGAAAGAAAGCTATCCGTCCATCACGGAAGGAACAACAACTAACTAGAAAAGGAAAATATTGAAGAAGCAAGTAGCGCAAGCGAAAGCCAAAACGCTCTCCTCAGCAGAACGTGCACATACACGTGCGCCTACAAAGCACCCACAGCAGCGCAAACGACGCCAACGTACTACACTAATCTACACTAATCTACATGCATCAAATAAGGAATCCAAAAGCAACCAAAAAAGTAGCCAGCTCTGCAGAAGGATCCACGACTGAGTACAGTCCGCGTAGCCATGGGACCTCATGATGTCAACCAAACAAAAGACACAGAAAAGACGTGTCAAATAAACAATAAATAAACCAAACGCAGATTCAAACAGCAAACTAGTAAGCTAACGATAAACTAGTAACACTGAGACAATTCAACTGTCACAAATTACAACAAAATCACATGCAAGAAGTCCTTTCACTTTGTCCACCGCTCGTTGCGTGACAATCATAGTTGATGCAGATAGCGGTGGTGAGGGGCATAGTAGGTACAACTGAGCTGCAGTTACGCAGCAGGTGTACTCCTTGCATCCTGCGTGTGCGCACTGTGCCACTAAATGATATGCCCGGGGAAATTTACTGTGGCAGCAACCCGTTCGCAGTGCGCACTCCTATTTGCATATGCTGTTGGTAAGATGTGCATCAGGTCCATGCCCATGTGCACGGTTGTGAGCAACACGGTTCACTGTAGCAGCTTAGCTTGCTTCGACAAGACTTTGTTAAAATACAGCCATGTCTGCCCACTGTGATCAAACGGTAATGAGGATGCACGCGGACATATGTTCCCACCCGGCCTGTACACAAACCCACCTGTGTGCTGAGCAATAATCTTACTGGTGCAATCAATGCCACGCAGTTTGTTTGTTGATAGGAATGAATGGACTCGGAGTATTTGCCAATGTGTGCGTCCCTTTGGACATGATGGGTGTATGGTGTATTATAAATCAGTATTGACATTTTTAAATGACTTGACTCACATAGCTGTTGTCAGTGTATATGCGAAGATGAGATATGCACTGGAGGGAGCACTTGGCAATCCCGTGTACTGTGTTCCTTAGCGTGTCCTTCTTGTCGTCGCCTTCTTCTCCCCGGGTGTGTGTGTGTGTGTGTGTGTGTTTGTGTGTGTGACTGGTTCCAGGTATTGTTGGTGCTATTGTTGACTGGGTCAACATGTCCACTGGAGGCTCGGAGAACTTGTTTGAGGTGTCCAACAATGATGGTGTATCGGAGGTTGCGTTTGTGCTGCCTAACATAACCAGCACCGACTACAACGTGTGGGTGATGGAGTATCGGACTTTCCTAGCCGATTGTCAGACGACTGGTGCTGAAAACACCGTTGCCGTGTGCACGTGGAGCAGTTTTGAAGTGAACAGGACCCAGCGCCGTGCCTCGCTGGAGCGGCTACAACCCGGCGAGTACGAGATACGGCTGCACGCCGAGATCAGGACGGGACCGGTGGGCCGACGGCGCCGTCGCCGAATGACACCCATGGTGTCACTGTACACGCCGCCCATTGTAATCACTGTACCGGCATCAGGTGAGTTGGGGGAGGCCTGTGACTGTGTCAAACATAGCCACCGTGTTGGAGGAGGGTGTGTGTGGGGGAGAGGGGCTGTCCCATATCTGCCAGGTACAGCCGGTTTCAGTTCATTTATGGCAGGACCATACACGGTTCAAACCGTTTAGCGCAGGGCTAGTATAACAGGGTGGTCGACTGCAGCGGATACAAATGGTGGGAGACAGTGTGTGATGCTTATGTCCCATTCAAAAACCATACTGTGCACTGCCATCCAAACAGCAAGCAATAGAATGCCCAAGCAGGACATGCATGTTGTCAGGTCTATGTCGAGTAGAATACATGTATCTTCATTTCAGTCTTTTTCAGATCACTTGCCTTTTGTTAGAGGCCATATAAATGTAGCCGTCTATATGTCGGGAATGACCACGACATGCACCTGTGAAGCTTGCCCTTGGAATTTTCTTTCGTCCCACCTTTCTTAGATCGATCCGTCTGCAATCTGACCACTACACTTGTCAGTCTGTCAGACTGTCCGTCTCTCGGTACAGACACCAGTACCTACAACGTTGATCATGCTATGTGGTCACTTGCTTGCTGAAACACTCCCGGCAAAACATTGCCACTCAGAATGTGGCATGGCGCATAATAGCACACTGCTACTTTTCCCGCCTGTCAGCCAAACAAACCTGTTTGCTTCCCTTCTCCCGTGTCCTGTACAGCGCCTGCACCGATCACACTGCTCCGTGCACATGATATAACATCCCAGTCCCTGAACATATCCTGGCAGCCGCCTAGCTCCTTCAACGGCAATCCTCTGCCCTATTTTGTCAACTTCACTTTGGGACCCGACGTTGACATGCAGAACATCAGCTTTAGCGACGCCAATGAAACAGTGTCTGTGTTTTACGGGTCGTTGTTGCCTTTCACCGTGTACACCATCAGCGTTATTGCCAACAGCAATGGCGGAAGCAGCAGCGTAGTGACCAGGACTGTAACCACATCAACACTGTGTATGTACATGCATGTAATTGCTCATAGCACTATTTGTCTCGCTTGTGTCTCTTTCTCCCTGCATATGTTCCGTCTGTCTCGCTTGTGTCTCTTTCTCCCTGCGTATGTTCCGTCTGTCTTGCTTGTGTCTCTTTCTCCCTGCGTATGTTCCGTCTGTCTTGCTTGTGTCTCTTTCTCCCTGCGTATGTTCCGTCTGTCTTGCTTGTGTCTCTTTCTCCCTGCGTATGTTCCGTCTGTTATCTGTTAGTCGGCTTTTGTGTCTTCTTGTCCGTATGTCCACCCATCCACCTGTCTGTCTCTCCCATCATCCATCTATCTAGCCACCAATCCAACCAGCTCTCCACCCGTCCATTCAGTTGGCCATCCGTCTGCCCACCCATACATCCAAACACCCGTTCATCCACCAGTCTGTCTATCTAGCCGTCTTCTGCGTTACTATCTCAAAGTGCCACATTGCTTAGCATGCCTTGCCGTTGTTCATCTGCCTACATGCAGCTGTGGATGCTAGATTTGTTTAAGTGGTTGCTGCGCGTGTGTACATGTATTTGCTGTGTCTATTCCCTTGCAGTGCCTGGGGCTGTGCCCAGTCTGAATGTCACCTTCACGAGAAATCCTAGCAACGACCGAGCCATTGCTCAGCTCCGCTGGACACCACCGGATCAGCGAAACGGCTCCGTGACGCAATACGAGGCACGCTATCAGACCGTGGGCTCCAGCTCAGTGACGGTAAATCAATAGCGCTAAAATACAGTACTTGGACAAAAGGAGACGTTTGGCATTTCAAAATCTTGAGCGGCTGGTACCCAGTATTTAGTGGCTGTGTGTGCGTTTGTGTGTGTGTTTGTGTGTGTGTGTGTGTGTGTGTGTGTGTGTGTGTGTGTGTGTGTGTGTGTGTGTGTGTGTGTCCCCCATATGGTGCAGCGGTATGTGCAGCGATTTCCAATCGATAGGTTGAGGGTTCGATTCTCGACGATTATGGTCACACAAGTCTTTCTTCTCTTTCTCAGACTCCTCCTGACTTTTCTTTCATTCTCCTGGGTGGTTACCAACAGCCTGTGCATGCCAGAGTATGTGGTGTGATGTGTGTGTGGGAAAAAATGAAAAAGACCAAAAAGAAGGGATTCACTGGCCAGAAAAAGCCACTTCATAGCTGTGTGGTGTAGACCAGGCTGAATAGTGGCGGTCAATTCTTCAGCCTTGCAAGCTGTTGAATAGTGCAATCCCAGCACGAGTTGCTATGGCTTCTGCTGTAGCATCGCTAGCATCACCTCTGGCAATGGGCGGCAATGGTCAATGGTGTGCATGCGTGCGTGTGTTGTGTACAGACATTGCCTGCGGTGAATTCCTCCGTTCTGAGCCTATCAATACCTGGACTTAGTCTTCACTCAGACATCAGTTTTCAGGTAAGGTATGATTTGAACTTGATGCATAGGCAATACCGCAGCACTATCGGGCGCCAAAGAACGGAGAGGAGGATTGGTGTTATAGCTTAGACCGGTCTTATTCTTTATGCACTACGGTCTACGCACTGTTGCGTAGCCGCGTATGTAGCGGTATGCTGGGCTTGGTGCGATCCTAGCCTGTTTGTTCTGCAACAGTGCTCGCCAGTGCTGTGTGATTTCATGCAATGGATGTTATGGCTAGCACTCACACCGATATGTATATAGGGATCTGAGACAACCTTCGACCGTTTCCAGCCTGGCTTGTTAGATGTGCAGTGGCTGACCCATTCACACTGGTCCTGTTTGTGTGTTAACTTAGTGTGGTGCAGTGCTGGGCTGCAGAAAGACATTTAGAGGGACATCAATGAAGTGTAGGATATCGGTGTGTGCATTGGACTATGTACAGTCAACTTCGCTAATAACGACTGCGGATATAACGACAATTCGCGAATAACGACAGAATTTCCATGCCCAGAGCAAAGTCCCATCCAACTGTAATACATATAATGAGACTTCGGGTATAACGACACTTTGTGAATAACGACACTTTTCTGATGCCCCGCCGAGTGTCGGTATAAGCGAAGTTGACTGTACTGGGTAGTGGAGACAAGCGTACTGTGATGTGCATTGACTCCTTGGCCAGGCAGGTACAGTGGGACTCGCTGAGTAGATAATGTAAAACCGGGAATTTTCGGTGGTGTAATATTTTCGGCATTTCCCAAAACCAACGGTTCGGTAGCACGAAAATTTCGGTAAACCGGTTTTCCAGATCCAAAAATGCATCTTGCACACTGTACATGTGTGGCATGGCAATGTTGAATTTTAGGTCGCGTTTTACTTAAGATAAAAATTACCTGTACCGAAGTTACCGAAAATAAATCGCCACCGAGATTTTCCGGTTACAGTATACTGATAAGACCTACACTTGCTTCGTACATTTCTGTGTACTTTTGTGATGGTCCCTAAGAAGTGTACTGGTGCTCAACTGCCAATGTCCTGCTGTTGTACTGTGATTAGGTGGCAGCCTACACGACAGCCGGTCGTGGGCCGTTCACGGTGAAGATGGGAAGGACACCAGTCGGAGGTGAGCAATGCTGTGTGTACCTAAAATACATGCAAAACCACTGTTCACACTTATGCACACACACACACACACACACACACACACACATACACACATGCACACATGCACACATGCCCCCCCCCCCCACACACATACACACAGAGCAACAGTTCTTTAACTTGTCGGAAAGGAGAGCTCAGAAAGACGACAACGAAAGGAAGACAGCGTGAATGTTAACTTATAGAACAAAAGTCCGCACGCAGTGGCGCAACCAGCCCACAGCAGCGCATGCAGAGGTGAACCGCGGGCTCACAGCACAGCCAAAAGGGGCGCTCGGACCACGTCCAGGTTACAAGGACAACAGAGCCGCTAACAAGTGGTGACTGTCATTCAGTATGCAGCTCAATAACATGATGGCTATGTCGTATGCAAAGAGGGATAACGTAACTCCAGATGTACAGAGTTATTACTAAACACGGTAGTAGGGGATGACGGTGGGCTATGTATACACAGTGGCAGAGGCTCAATGTGATGCCCTTGCACTCACCAGCGCATGCAGCACTGTCACATACTCTCTCACACATATACACTATCAGGGATGGCCAACGGCAGGGAAGGAGAGATAGCATGGTCACATCATTGCCGTATTTCCCCGACTGTAAGTCGCATCCAGCTAAAAGTCGCACCCCATGTTGAGGTCTTGGGCGTATGGCTTCAGGATGTTCACTTCAGTAGTAGGTCACACTTGATTGTAAGTCGCACTTCCTCGCTCAACCTTGGGATTTGTTGCAAAAAGGTGTGACTTATATTGGGTGAGTTACCATAGCCACAGCTTGGTGTACTATCGCCATCGATAGTGTAGACTAGTTAGTGGCATTGGAAGAGGCAAGGAGCGGGTCATCTAGCACATCAAGGTGACCTCAATACGCCAGACTGACACCAGTGGCTTGCCGCCAAGAACCGTACGTTCTCTGTCCTATTCGTAGTGCTCCAAGCACATTTCCGCTCGTACCGAAAATCCCGGCACGCGTAGAGGAATATGATTGTGCGGCAAACCGCGTCAGGCTAGCTTCCGTTGAGTCTTCGCATGTTTGTAGAAGAGGTGGAGGTGTCGAAATAAGATTAGGCCGATGATCAACATGGGTAAAATGACGGTGACGATGGTATTCGTGACACACCAGGGCAGTGACTTTGCAACACCGGAAGCATTTGTTGCAAGGCTACTAGACACATTTGATGCATTTCCCCCATTCAAGATCATTTTTGTCGAGCGCGACGGCGCTTGGCATCCGGGATAAGTGGCCAAAGGAAGAACTATGATCCAATAGGTGTGCAAAAGGCTGAGGCAAGCAAACACTTTCGGCCAATACTTCCAAGTCTCCAGGACGTCATGTGGTACATCCCAGTTGTCTCCAATGGCCAGCACAGCAGGGCATACAGCTATAGCCTGGCTGCTCATCATTGACAAGCCAAGGAGAGCATTGCCACTGATGCATGTCCACGAATAACCATGGTGTGCCGATGACCAACACGTTATACCGTACGAGCCGGCATTGGACAATGTCACATTGAACATGTAGACGCTGCCAGTCCATACCATGAACATGTACGCGGTGCACTTTCTCCTTCTCTCCCACCAGTCCTTGAGCTCGCTCCATCGCCGTCCTGCCATGTCTTTGATGCTGTTCCTGTCGCATGTCCAGCTGCGGAAGCTGCGCAAGTTCTCGAATGCCGTGTGTATGTCATGTAGATCTGGGAGCGTGACTTGGAAATCGCCAAGAAATGTTTGTAGTGACTTCAGCACCTGGCAGACGATGATGAAAGTTGCCAGCAGTCCCTGGACACGGAACCCGTCCACGTACTGCGATGACGCCGTCCACGTCCACATCATACTCAGCACTGTGTTGGCGAGGGCGTTGAGCAGGAAGCGGCCTGCGGGGACAAGCGGTACCGGTGTCACCGTGTCGCCCTCGTCCTGCCAGTGACTGCACTGAATGTAGATGAACAGCAGCGTGAGAGCGATGGAGGCGAACATCAAGGAAAGGCAGTGCCCGGCTGGATCGGAATTGGCATTACTGCTTAGTTTTGATGCACTAGAAACGTTACACATGTCAATACCGCCCGCCCACAGCAGGAAAATGAGCACACTGGTTCCAGCAGATAGCTTGTCCAACGGCTTCAGCTGACTCCACTTTGCATAGGGGATATGCTGCCATGCTTCATCCGACAAGTTGAGATTAATGGCGGCCACTATGGCAATCCATGCTAATGTTCTCATCAGCGCCAAGTAGCATGAAAACGGGAATGTATGGCTAGCAGATGCAACACACCAAACCATGAGGAACCAGGCCACTGGCGAAAGGCTGCTCGACAAGTTCTCCAGACTTGCCTCCATGTAGTGTGTGAGGGTGTAGAGTGACCAACAACTGCCAATAACCAGTGCACATAGCAGCAGCCAGTAAGGCACAATGCTCTCCGTGATCACCGTGTCTCTCCCCTTCTCCTCCAGTACATCCTCCACCACAAACGTTCCAACAAACATAGTCACGCCGGCTACAAGGCTGAGCAAGAAAAAGCGTTTGAAGCGGCTGTTGCAGAGCCAGTCCAACCAGGCTAGTACGGCCCAGAAGACAGTGGAGATGGCCTGGCAGCACACTCTCCATGACGGTAGAGCACACTTCATGTCCTAGAGCTCAGAACAGGTATTCTCTGCCAGCAATCTTCTCAAAACCCTGTTTCCACTTCTCTAAGAATGACGCTCCTTTGCTTACTCTTCTGTGCTGATGTTGCTACTAGAAAATAATGAAACAACCTGCAGGGGTTGTTTTGCCCCACACTGAGTTGCGGGAACTAATTACTTCATTATATACTTGCAAAGCACAGCTATTCTACGTGGCAGAGTTCTAGGTGACAGGAGCTAGCAGCAGTCAGCCGTCCCGGGTAATCTTGCCTGGTAATCTCGCCTGTGAAAGATGACAGTTGACATGAGTCATACAAAGGGAATGCTGTGTACCAGCAGCACCTTGACGGTGATGCGAAGCGTGAATCATGTGATACAGTACAGCCGAAGAAGTGCAGTCATGTACTTAGCGTGAATCATGTGATACAGTACAGCCGAAGAAGTGCAGTCATGTACTTAGCAGTAGTCTCGTACTGCTGCATGTACATGTAGTTCGTTTTGCAGCTGACAAGGCTCACATGCATCCCAGGTATATGCCAACTCAGCCACGCACTGCATACACACACACACACCCACACACACATCCATGTACATGCACAAACATCCAGTCTGACAGGTCATGCACAGATCATGCATGAGGGAAACTCGAAGGGACTTCCCCTCGAGCAGTACCTGTTTCATAGTCATAGCCATCGTGACAGTGATGGTTTTCATCTAGTGCAGGTGGAATCCTGATACTGTAATTTCACATACTTTCGGTGTACTTCTATTTTCAGTACTTTCGGAAGTTTCGGTGCATCTATTTCATACCTAAAATTTCAATACACCGAACAAACACTGACACAGATAATCCAATAGGGAACTGCTTCTCTGTACTTAAATTTTCTGTTCACCTAACCTGATCTTTTGCCCTCATACCGAAAATATTGAGCACCTAAAATTTCTGAAAGTAGAGTTGGTGTTTCGCTAGGCTTCTGCCGCACGCAGTCCCGTAATGGGCCGTAAACCAAGCTCACACTCGACGGAGTCACTCACAACACGAAAGACTTTATGGTTGATTAGAAGTAGAACGCCATGTCGCGAACCGACTATTTCGTTCTAAGAAACTACATGTGCAAAGAAAAACACTCAGGAAATAAAAAAGGCAGCGCAGCCAAACAAAGGTACAGCTAAAAACCTCATGCCGCACGCACAAGAACACAACAACCAAAAAGGCTACACGGTGCCAAGGCTGGCTCAGCGAAACCGACCGCAGCGGAACCTAAATGGTAGCCCGCTGTACAAATTCGATAATTATTACATCAGGCATCAAGGTGCCCCCAAGGGGAGCACATGAAGACAGTAAGATGCCAGGAGATAAAGGTCAAATCACAGAGAACCGACAGCATGACCGCAATGGCAATCAGGAAGAGAAAGCAGATCGCAACTGAACATGACATGAATGTGTAGACTGAACTCCGTGGCATTCTCGCCACGCCAAGAGTACATACCTATACCTGCTCCTGCTTCAAGTTAGGTGCATTGTTAGGTTTGGGCTTCATGGTTTGACACCATATTGTACACATGATTTTAACACTCACACGCACACATGATTGGCACCCGCACGCACACATGATTCGTTTCTGATTCCCACCGCCTTCAACTCTCTGATACACGTTGTATGTGGCACCTTTTTTGCCTTTTTGCCTTCTTCTTTCTTCTTCCCCTTTGTTATCACACTCGGTCCGAGCAACACCTTTCGGTAGCTATGTGTTTCGATAGCTGCAGTGTCCGGTAGCTACTGTATCGGAGAGTGTATCTGTTATAGATTGATCTATTATTAATATTAGTCGTACGATCTACGATCTACGTTCTGCTACGTGTGTTTCTACGTGTGTCGTTCTACGCTCCTTTGATGCATGCATGATGAAGAGTGACAATGTCTTACCTCATTATGAATCAGTCTTCTTCTGCATTACGTCTGCATGGCTGACGTGTGTCTTACTTTGGTACGAGCTGACGAGGCCTATACTGTCGTGTCATAGCGCCATTAGTGCCACGACAGCACTGACGTGTCTCTGCTGCTTATCTCTCCATGATTGCCATTTTACATGTTCACTTCTAAATTATCCTAGAACAAACCAGATGGTGTTTCCTGCTGTGGTATACGCGAGTTGCATGGAATGAATCTTGCGTGCGTACGTTATAACAGTATCAAGGGAAACTTTGTGAGAGAATCCCTGCACTCTCGCCTGTCACTCTGATAGTTCAAGTCCAGCTCTGACGATGACACAAGAGTACTTTTATTCCCGTAGCCATGCAGAAGACGTTACTTCAGTAACGTCTGGCGCTAGCCAGGGTC